TATATATATATATATGTATATATATATATATAAACTGACCACCCGAAAACGTGGGCTAATGTTGTGCCAAACATCGTTTGGCTGCCAAATGGCAACCATGGGAACGTGCAAGAGAGGACTTTAAAAATCAATTTGCAGAAGCGGGAGTGCGCAGAGGGAGGATTTGCTGTCCTTTTAGTCGAAATTTTGCAAGATTAACACCTAAAAACAAATATTTGTTTGTTTGACAATATAGTAAAGGTGTGTCTCCGTTGAACTTTTTCTTAATAAATGCACTTTAATGGTGTAATCATGTTGCCTGGGCGGCACGGCGAAATGCAGCTGTTTTGACGTTTGCTCCAAGAGTTCTGGAGCGAGACAATGGTGGCCCTATGGCAAACCAAGCGTCTCATTAATAGCTACTTTTACCTATTAATGAGATACTTGGCTTGCCTAAATAGGTTGAGGGCCCTCTAGCTCAGACCTGGGCATTGTATGGCCCCAGGCCTTTGGTTGACTCTGAACGGCCCCCCGTAAGGGGAATTACAAAATATATATATTTTTTATTTTACCTCATTCGTGGACTAAAGCTGCGTTGCTTTTATTTGAAGTTTTTTTTAAACCTACAAAATCACGCAATATGTAAACCAAGACATGCGCAATGCACATGAATGAATTGTTGTCACCAGCAGGTCACAAGATAATGTTAGCCCTCAAAAATGTCCACTCATGCTAAAATAGATGTCGAGTGCAGGGTTTTCAACAAAAAATGAACTGCTTACTGAAGTTGGAGATAAAGCTGTGAGTTTAGTTCATGGAGAGCAGATTGCTGTGTTTAAGGATTACAGTTTGAGTTGACATAAAGAGACAAAACACGCAGAGAAATACAAAAACTTGACTGAAGCTGAAAGGATGCAGACATCTGAAGCTTTACTAGCTAAGCTACAAATGCAGCAAGCCTTTTTTTTTTTTTTTTTTACTAAGCTTCCCACATCCAGGGATGCAGCAACCAAGACTAGCTTTGTGAAATACCACAGAATCGCTAAAAACAGTAAACCATTCTCGAAGGGGGAGTTTGTCAAAATGTGCTTGGTGGACTCAGCAGCGCTAATATGCCCTGAAAAAAAAAGAAATATTTGAGCAAGTCCCACTGTCCAGGCGAACCGCGACGAGAAAGATCGAGGACATTGCGGGGAATCTGGAGCTTCAGCTGCAACATGAAGTGGCAAGTTTTGACTTTTTCTGCTTGGCTTTGGAGCTGTGGTGTCTGTGACACAGCCCAGTTACTGTTATTTGTCCGTGGAATAACGGATTTCAAGATGGAGGAGCTGGCTGCAATGCGGTCAATGAAAGGGACAAAGACAGCAAACAATCTGTTCACGGAGGTAATGCATGGACACACTGGGACTGAAACGGAGCAGACTGACAGGTGTCACAACGGACAGTTGTCCAAATCTTATGGGGAAAAATGTTGGACTTTTGAAATGTATGCCAGATAAAGTGACTGAAATCATAATGATAATAATGCATCCATAACCTGAAATTTTGTTTTGCTTGTTTAGACAAAGAAGACTTGTAAAATCTATTTCTGACAAATGATGCAAAGAGAGAAAAAAAGAAGTTTGGTTGTAGAATTTGCAAATTTGAAGGATTAGACAGCTCTTAATAGTGAAATCTGATATTCTAACAAGAACAATATTTGGAAGAGTACCTTCTTGGAAAGACTCTTGTGATTCCTCCATCTGTAGCAACAAACCTGGCTACCATCCCATCCCTGAGAACAGGAAACATAACAGCCAGTCACATATTCACATCAATGACACACAGTTCATAAAGCTTTTTTTGAAACATGTGACAAGTGGTGGCACTGATATAGTAACACACACAGCTGAAAGCTAAGTCACTTGTCTTTGTACTGTACAGCCTAATGATAAACAGACACCCTTCAGAATTTGCAAAAGTGTGTTCAGATTATTTCAGACATATGGACACACTTTAAAAAGGAACAGAGTGATGTAATTACTTTGTTTTCCTCCCAAAACAGCATGTCTTGGCTTAGCTCAGTATGTTGGAAATAATGTGCATTTTGTGCATTGCTTTCATCATATTTCACAAGTAAGATTAGGTCAAATCCTTTATATTAGAGAATAAAAGGCTAAGACTTTGGCTCTGTTAGCCAATAAGTGGTGCATGAAACAAGCATCAGCTATCATACTTCAGAGGAAAAATGCACAACTGTAAAACAGAATGCAATGCATAAAAAATATTTTTAGCATTTTACCAAGATATTTCACGTTTCTGCAGTGTAAAATAAAATGCTTACATCTTTGCATTGCTTCAAATATAGAAAAAAGGAACCGTTGGCACATACACTGTCTGCTCTTTCCAAAGTTTAACCAGTTCAGCTGTCAGACCTGCATCTAGGATCAGTCGGCTCACAAGGGACTCATTGCCTGCGGATTAGGGATGAGATAAATTTCACATATTGTAGATATTACAGCACCAAAGTACAAGGAAGGAGAGTTATGGTAATGGAAATAATGACAGTTTTAACACATCTGGGCAGAGAAAGTGAATGCTTTAGACTGCAAGAAAACATTCTTGGTCAAGTGTCACTGACCAACGCATTTAAACAAGCACTCACATCTGTTTATAGGCAAACTATAAGGCTATCAGTGATCCAGAACGTAAAGGCAGTAGTTGGGGTCTGAAAAAGAGCAGCCAAAGCTTTTCTCAAGATGAATGTAAAATATAAATCTCCTGACATCTTAAAGCAGAGTGACCTGAGCGGCCATTTTATTTCAGAGAACAGACAGTATTTTGTGAACGGCTGGCTATTATAAAGCAAATAATGACAAGGTATTGAGTTTCAGCCTCCTTGTCAAGAGAAGTACTTTTCAAAATGAAATCATTTCAGCACATGTCCTTAAAGATCTCAACATCATTCCTACACAGCAACTCTTAAGTGTTATTTTAAATTATGCGTATATTATTATATTTTCTTTACAGAAACTCAACATAAGAGCCGCAAGAAAAAAATAAACAGTAATGCCAAAGTATATGACTTGACCTTGGGTTCAAATGGATCCAGGATATGTTAATCCATTTGCTGGTTGATGGTGGTAAGTCATACTTCGAGTGAGATCCATTAGAGGATAACAAACACACAATGAGTCATTGTATAGAATGACAACATCAGGCTTCTAGGGAACTCAGACGATCAGTCTTAGGTCACTCTGCTCTCACAGTACTGACCCTGAGATCATAATATCAGATTGGGGAATTGATAGTGCGTATCTACTGTATGCAAACAAAACATGTGCTACTTTGTGTAGGAGAATGAAAAACACTGTGATCTGATTTGGATGAAGTTGTGAACTTGAGTCATTGTCACGAAAATCCTGCAAAATGTTAAAATAATGCATGAAACAAACACGACCAGTATGAATGTGCCAAGTGAAGTAGCAGTGAAAGAGATGCATGACTCACATGCATCTGGAGTGTTTCTATCAATATACTGGTTGAAGTCGAGGAGAAGCTGGGTGTTGTTGAGTGACAGCTTCAGCTCTTTGCAGTACTCCCTGAAGAAACAGTATCGTTGAGTTTGAATCTCTGTCCCTTGTCTGTTTCTGTGCTCTGTAAGTGACGTCTACAGTGATGGGGCGACCACTCACCTTGGTGCAATGTAGGTGTAACCGAACTCCTCAAAACTCTCTGGTTGTAAGGTTTCCATGGCTTTGGAAAGCACAAAATGGCTTGTTTAGGCCCATAAATTGTTGAATTACATATATCAAACTATATACTGATCATCCATAACATTATGACTCCTGAGCAGTAAAGTGGGTAACATTCCTTGTCTTGTTAGAGTGAAATGATCAACAGGATGTCATATTGTAGGGGTTCTGGGTTTTGTCCTGTCTTTGTCTGTTTCCTCATGTTTTCCGTTAGTGCTCAGTGTTTTCCCTCGTGTTCAGCCCTTGTCTCACCTGTGTCAAATGTTAATCACCGCAGGTGTCTGTCATTTGTCCCAATCAGTGTTGCATATTTATTCAGCTCCCTGGTGTCTTGTCTTGTCTCTGGATTGTCCTTTATGCTGTTGTGGTCTGCCTCCCAGCCCGTCCCGTCCCATCCCATTCCGTCCCGTTCTGTCCTGTCCTGTCTGTCTGTTTTCAGTAAGTAAACTGCCCTGTCAGCCTTTTGATTTTGTTTTTGAAAATAAACCTTGTTTGACCTTGTTTTATCTTCCTGCAAGTGGGTTCAAACACACCTGATGGCCGAACGCGATAAAATCTGGAGACCAGAGCTGAACCCAGCAGGAGGATGATCACTCTATTTGAATTTCTGGCCATTGAAGTGAACAAGTCCGCCCGACGAGACAAATATATGGAGGAGAGAAAGAATCAGTTTAGGGGAACCCATCTGGCTGTCAAATTGGGGTCCTCAGACTCACAGTTTCTCCTTACCTCATCACCCCACCATTCTGCTGCACCCCACTGCCCACCTCATTCTCGCTCTCCTCCTGGCTGCCTCAAACAATCGTTGGAGAGAGGGGGGCAAACCGTTGGTCCTCCCTGAGTCCAGCACAAGGAGGGGAGAGCTTCATAAGCGGGGGACAACCCAGCCCTCGGTTGCCGGAGGAATGGCGTAAAATTTGGCTGGGGGGGGCGTAACTGTACTCGCCAGAGGAACAGCTCAACCCTCACCCACTGGAAGAGTGAGGGGAGCTTCCACTGGGCGAGAGGTATCCGTGCCCCCATGTGCCAGAGGAGCAGTCCAGCTCTCCCTCGCCAGAGAAGCGGTGGAAGGCTTCGCTAGTGGAGAGGTACCTAAGTCTGTCTGACACCCCTGCTGCAGCCCTGACCCTCAAGCCTGCTGCAGAGGTTCTGGTACCCTCACCTGCTGCAGAGGTTCTGGTCCCCTTGCCTGCTGCAAAGGTTCTGGTTCCCTCGCCTGCTACAGTGGTTCTGGTCTCCTCGCCTGTTACAGAGGTTCTGGTCCCCTTGCCTGCTGCAGCTTGGACCCCATCACTCGCTGCAGCCCGGATCCCATCACCTGCTGCAGCCCGGACCCCATCGCCCACTGCAGCCCAGATGCCATCGCCCACTGCAACTCTGACCCTCAAGCCTATTGCAATGGTTCTGGTCCCTTTGCCTGCTGCAGAGGTTCTGGTCCCAACATCCACCAAGGGTCCCATGGCAGGTACAGCACTGATCTCCTGCCTCATTGGGGACGGTCACCAGACCACCCGCCTGAGCATCAGGCCTGCTTTGGACAGTCCCCTGACCGTCTGCCTTAACTCTGGGTTGGTGTCCTGGGTCTCAGATTTTTTTGTGTTTAGAGTCCCCCTGTTGTTTTTTTAGTCCTCATTTTCCTCTGTTTCCCCATCTTGGTCTGTCCTGTTTTTGTCCCTTCTCCCACCCACGTTGGATGTAGCCTCATCCTTAGGATGTCAGGGGCCATCCCTTGAGTGGAGGGTACTGTAGAGGTTCTGGGTTTATTCCTGTCTTTGTCTGTCTCCTCATATTTTCAGTCAGCTCTCAGTGTTTTCCCTCCTTGTGTTCAGCCCCTGTCTCACCTGTGTCTAATGTTAATCTAATGTTAAAGGTGTTTGTCATTTGTCCCAATCCCTGGTCTTTGTCTTTGGATTGTCCTTTATGATGTTGTGGTCTGCCTCCCGTCCCGTCCTGTCCGTCGGTTCTCAGTAAGTAAGCTTCCCTGTCAGCCTTTGGATTTTTTTTCTAAAATAAATCTTGTTTTTTACTCTCGAGCCTCTGGACATCCTTCTGCACGTGGGTTCAAATAAACTTGATGACAGAACGCAGCATAACTTTAAATTTCTCTTCATAGGATCTTTCTGAATGGGGATTATAAAGAAAAGTTATAAGAAATGAATATATTCAATGTGATCAACATTCTGAATGACCTCAGCTTGGAAAAACTGAAATTATTTAGACAAAACTCTAATATCAAAACAGATTACTGTTTTAAACAACTCCAATACTTTTTTTTTTTTTTTTTTTTTTGCAGTTCATATAAAACCTATTTTCTAAACCTTTTTTCCAGATGTTTTGCATTTACAAATAGTGGCAGCAGCAGATAGTTGTATCACTTCAATTGCAGTCTAGGACACATCAAGCAGGAATATTACCGATATATTTTTGCCAAAATAATTGTGAAATTTAAAACTGACAATACAACATTTAACTATTACAGGGGAAAAAAATACATGAATTTACCATGTTTTTTTCACATGAGTACAAGTGAAGAAACATGATAAGATTGGATCACATGAACCCATTAAAAATGTTTAAAAATCACATGATAAACATTTGCAAAATGTGGTAATTTAGGGTGTTTTCCCAAGTAAGATCATGTGATTTCCACATGTAAAGTTCATATAAATTTGATTACAAATTCACAAAAATGTGCACAACATTTTTCACACATGTTCACATATGCCAAGTGAATTTAACATGTTAACTCGTAGAAGCATTTGGTGCTCATTAACATATTCTCTGCCCCTTGCATCTCATTTTGCCTATCTTATCTTTATATGGCTTCTTTTTTGTAATTTTTCAGTCATCTTTGATTTTTATATGGAAAGAACAACAAAGAACATCAAATGAGACTAATTAAAATCCTGTTGATGAGTATGCAACCAAGATATCATGTCAGTTATCTTATTTGAAGTAATGCATTTGACTGAAACTAGCCTGTGGCGTGGACCAAGTTTCCACACCCCTGCTGTAAGGGATTAAAAACCAATCTTGTGAACTGCTATACATTGCTTTAGATTGGAATTGTTTAATGCACATGGCAGAATTTTGCTTTGGCCTTGGCCCTACTAGGTTGTCAATCCTTTGATCTATCTCTTTGAGAAAAGTTGGGTGTCTACTCAGAGCTGTTGTGGATATTAATACAGCAATCTAATCAATATTAGGTGAGCAGTCATAACATTATGGCTGATCAGTGCATATTTTCATGGTGAGGAATAAATGAATGTTTACCGGTCCAGAAATTATATATAATACAAAAACAGATTTTGGTTAAAACATGGATGTGTCTGGGCACATTCCATACCAAGTTCCCACATCTTGAAACACACAGACACAAAAAGGTACTGGACAGATATGAGGTGATGCAGTAAGGTAAAGAGAGTGTTAATTGAGTAGAACATGGAAAGGATGAGAGAGTAACTGACTGAGAAATACTTGCCTTTTTGCCCTGTTGTGACCCCAAGGATGAAGAATCGGGAGAGAGACAAAAATAAAAAAAGACAAATGTTGATGAAAATGCATTCATCATCTGATACATGCTATCTGCAGAAAGTTGCTGGAGTTTGTGAATATTCCCCATAGTAGGTAATAAAAGAGCAATGGTGCAGTTAAAAAAGCTGTAACAGAAAAAAAAAAACTACATTTAAAAAGCACCTAAAATGTATTGTGTAGTTTGTAAAACACATAACATAGCATTATGGAAAACAAGACAAGTGAGACAGATAACGTAAAATAGCAAAACAACAAAAGCTAGGTAGTATTAGCGAAATGTCCCTCCAAATCTGCCCCCATCCCCTCTCTGGACTTCATTTAAAATACCAGCATGTTATTCTTATCTCATAAATGACAGGACAGGCATCAATAGCCATCATTCACTGATCTCCTAAAATAAAGACTTTTGGGCAATCCCTTTAAAATATATTGACTCATGTGGTACAGTCTGTGAAAGCAATTACTGAGCACCGAGTTTCCTTTAGGGTTTTGAAAATCTGGTGCAAGATGAAAAATGTCTTTCACATAAAACACAACAAGTTGATTCATTGTCACTCTGTCTCTGTAGACTGGGTAGGGCTGGTCCATTGACTTTCAACAACATTTAACTTTTTTTTGCCTTTTACTTATCTGTCAGCATCTCGTCAACCTGAGCATTAGGTCATTTACTCAGCAAATACAACATTCCTCAAATATGAATGACAAAAATCTATGCTCAACAAAAACACCCTTGGTGAGAGACCCTTACTAATGTATCAGGAGAACAAGTGGCTGCAGAAACCACCCACTGCATGGAAGTGATAAGATAGATTGGGGTTTAGGTGGTCTGGCTCCAATGTGAAACTCTATATGGCTGAACAGGGAACTTTAGAGTCCCAAATCCCCATGAGAGTAGTCTGCAGCAGCAAGGCATGGTGTGTTGCTCCCTTTAACAGGCCTGTAAATGTGCTGACAGTGTTTATGGCACAATGACAGACTCAGCAGAGGAGTAGTGAAATACAGGCTGAAACAGTCACTCAAAATCACATTTGATAGAAAAACTGCTCCGCTCGTTGTTTATACTCTGTGGCGTCACGTCAAAGTTATGAAAATTCCACTATAAGGCCAGATGATGGCATGCTTTTTTCAACTCGTATCATTTGATCAAAGCAAAGAACAACTCGTACAAAGGTCCATGCAGCCCTTTAAACAAATGCATTGGTTTGATCAGTTTCTGCTGATTTGTGTTAAGTGAGCAGAAGATGATCTCATCTTTAGAAGGCATGCAGGAAAAATTGAAACAATGTTTTCAACAAATCTGGCCAAGTTAATTATCGAAAAAAATAAACAATTACTCTTTTCTGTTTTCACAGAAAGTAATTTATTTTGAATCTAAAAACTAAGCCCCATCTTGTCTTCTAAACAGTTGTCCGATACTCTGTTGTTGTTTAATTAGACACTGAGAACCAATATAATGATATCAAAATAATATAGCATCGGGGAAAATAATAATAATAATAATAAAGTTATGCAGAAAAAATTAAACAAAACTGACATTTGATGAAAAAAAGGATTCCATGAAAACAGGCAGCTTTGTTTCACTACCCAACCAAGACACAAATCTAATTGAAGCATTGCCAAAAGCAAATATTTACTTTGAATTACATGTCTACAAAATCTAAAATAAATGTTTGACAATATACTTAAAATTTAATCAACACTAAGTATTGAATTTCAACATTTTGTCTGCATGGACACAAGCTAAAAGTGAAAAGAATCCCTCCCCTAAAGTTAAAAAAAAAAAAGATGCTGAAATGCTGACAGTGAGGAATATTAGACATGATTTAAAAACTGTATATTATTTCATACCAGAAAAAAAAAATCAGTAATGAAAAATGTCATAGTCTTTAAAATGAATCAAAATTATGCAAATGAAAAGAAGATGGTTTTGACAGCAGAGTGATCTCAGTCTCTGAAAGAACTATCACAGGAGAACTAACTGCATGCAGAACAGCTTGCAAATGTCATGCAGTCAAATTACTTCAAACTTGATAAATTTGTAAAAGTCTTCCAAACAAGAATCTAAAGACTTGCAGAAAGCATTTACAAACTGTGAAACTTGTGAAAACCAAAGATAAATATATGTACTATGTAATTATTCAGCCGTTTTAGGCCTCTTTTCTTTTAAAATGTTTGCATCTGTTCAAAGAATAATGCCTATCGTGTTGGATAATTGCATCTTCATATATATTTTTCACTGGTGGCAGGATGGCACAGTTGGTAGAGCTGCCACCTCTCAGGGAATCTCAGCCGGAGACCATTCTGGGTGGAGTTTGCATGTTCTTTCTGTGCAAGCTTGGGTTTTCTCCAGGTACTCCAGTTTCCTCCCACAGACCAAAAACATGCGTGTTAGGCTGATTGGTAACTCTAAATTGTCCCTAGGTGTGAGTGAGAGTGAATGCTTGTTGGTCTCGTTTGCCTCTATGTGTCCCTGTGATGGACGGAGACATGTCCAGGTTGTCCCCCAGCTCTCATACAGTGACTGCTGGACATGGGCTCCAGTGACCCCCATGATCCGAAAAGGAAGAAGCAGGTAAAAGATAATAGATGGATGGCTATTTTTCCCATGAAGATCTATGGTTTTGGGCTAAGAATTTTGCATCATAGTGTGTATGGCATGTAACATTAAACACATTTAAACATGTGTATGCAGCAAAGAGCAAAACAGGCAACAAAAAACAAAAACAAAAAAAAAGAAGAAGAAAGAATAGTGAGTACTTGCCCCAAGAAGAAGCTGTAGAAATCCACATTTTTGGAAAAATAGAAGAAGAAAGCAACTAATCATTGCACAAATAATTCAATACACATCATCTGCCTGTGTGACACAATTTCCTCTTTAAAACATGTTTTTAGTGCTATGTATGCATCTGTTCAAGATGGCTTATCCCCATGCTTTAACTGAACAAAGAAACTCAAGCCTAAATAAATTAATGCAGGAAGAAGTGGATTTAAAATATGTTTCATATTGTAAAGTTGGGAGGATAAAACAAACAAACACAAAAAAACCTATTTAGTAACATGGAAAATAATGACAAAATGGGAACACTTATTTTTCTAAGCTGGATGAAAGCCATATGAGGGGGATAAAGAGAGATAAAGTGTCATATTCAGACAAGATCAAAAGATGTAATATTTGGGCTGGGTATGTGAGTGGAAAAGGATGTTGGATAGTTTGAGTGGGAGTGAAGATCAACTGACCAGCAGGTTACACTACAAAAGAACAGCACAGTGGGGATTTTTGCTGATCTGAGCTGCAAAATACAAAGGAGTGGCTGCGGCTGCAGATAGCACAGAATAATCCAAAGCAAGTGGAAATACTCAACAATACAACTCAAAGAATAGATGTGAGTTGGATGTAAGAGATCAACAAAGATCTCATCATTCTGCATGTCTGGATGCAAAGATACTCACATGTGGCTTGTTTTAAATCATCTCCCAGCTGAGCTTGAATGAAATGTTCACTGTATTTAGGTAAAACTAGAGCCAGGCTGCAGCAAAAAAGCAAAAAGAGAGGGAGAAAGGATAATTGCCTCTTTTAACTAAAGCTATAGTTTGCATCAGAAGATCTCCTTTTAGCATTCAGTGAATTAACTTAATAAAATAAAATAGGTCTCACCTGTAATCTGTTCCATTGACTGGTGCCCATGTGTAGGTCCTGACTCCTCTGTCTATGTATCTCTGGCAAAAATCAAGCACAGATCGATGCTATTTTATATTGCTTAAATAACAATCAGAGAAAAAGTACAATAATCTATATTTTTGTCCAAATAAGAAAACACAGCTTTTCAACAGTAGATAGTTTTATTATATTAATATGTATTTAAATGTCTCTGTTTACTTAAGAGTTTGTTCAAATAATCTAGCCACTTTTTCAGGGCAAAGCAAATAACAACAAAAGTTCAGACACAAAGTTTAAATAAAGAACTGCAAAACTTGATATAAATTTGGGTGATAATGAAAAAAATAAGACCAACTGCTGTTTTATTTTTGTATTTTCACAAGCTAGTGTAGTTCAATTTACTGTGGCAAATTAAAAAACTGAAAAAAAATAAAATAAAAAATAAAATAAAATACAATAAGCTACTGTAGAAAAAGTATCTCTTCCTGAAAAACCTTGCTTGGCTTTGGCTAGCTTTCATTTCATATCAGTTCAATTATGAAAATATTTAGAAATCATTTTATTAGACTCAAAGCTATGCTAGGAGAAAAAAGGACTAATTAGTACTTTTATTTTGTAAGGAAATTGCAATCTTCAGAAGAATCATTAACATTATTTACTCTTGGGTAATTTTTTTAGGACAATATATTAATACATTTCTAATTAAATGACAATAAGTGTTCAATACCTATAAGCCACATTTGCCCTGTACTACAGTATTTTCATAGGAACAATGGTAACTGGTAGCACTTAGCCTCACTGTTTCCTTCAGTTCAGATTTGATTAAACATACTGTTAGAAAAAGCCTCAGTTTCTTGACTTTATTCGCATAAACACAAAGCAATAATTAAAAATTTTACCTCATCCTGAGTTTTCACTAAAGTGTCGATGGTTTGTTCTCCCGTCTCCCCATCAATCATATTTTTCCTAATCTGCGTAAAGAAAAAAAGAGACAGAGTGTATTGTTACCATTGCCGACTCTGGTGCAGTATTGACTCATTTGTTATTGTGCCCCATCATTTCAAGGTGATACGAAACATTTGATATACAAATCCCTGTCTGTATGTTTTTGATTTGTTTATCTGATACTCTACCCCCACTTTTATGTCATTCTCCAGCTCAGCATCAAGGAAATCCAGGGTAACGGGCTCCTGAAATTTAGGATTCTGGGGAAGGAACAATTTTTAAATCTTGAATAAGGCAGTTTTAGAAAACCACATAAACAAACAAATAAAATGGGTGTAAGAGAAATGTAGAAAAAAATGCATTTTATTCTTGCTCATTCAGAATAAAGCTCCTTGCTTTCTATCACTTAATTTAAAGTTGGTTGAATCTGATGCATAAAGCAATGTTTCATTTAAAAACAGAATTGTTCATATTGTAAGTCTAGCACATTAAAAAATGAAAAATGAAAACCTTTTATTCAACTAAACTGTAGTACATTGAATGTACGAGTCAAATTTTAGAAATCGTTGGGTCACAAGCAGCCAGTCACTAGTACAAGTACAATTAAAACCAACACCCATCCACCCATTCATTATCTTAACTTGCTTCTTCCTTTCCGGATTGTGGGGGGTCACTGGTGCCTATGTCCAGTCGTCACTGTATGAGAGGAGGGGGACAACCTGGACATGTCTCCGTCCATCACAGGGCCACATAGAGACAAACAAGACAAACAGCCATTCACACACTCACTCACACCTTTGAACAATTTAGAGTTACTAATCAGTCTAACATGCATGTTTTTGTTCTGTGGGAGAAATCCAGAGTACCCGGAGAAAACCCATGCATGCACAGAAAGAAAATGCAAACTCCACTCAGAAAGGCCCCTGGCAGGGATTTGATATGGCAACCTTTTCACTGAGAGGCAACACCTGTACCAACTGAGCCATGGTGCCACCCCAATTAAAACATATAAAAATTAAACCAAAAAAAAGTTGAAACATCTAAGATAATACCGGTATGTACCTGTATGCAAGGCACTCCAGTCATTCACAAATACAACATTTGTTTAAGTTTGTTGCCACATTGATGAAAAATAATAATAAAAAACATAATCTATCTGCTTTCTGAATAAGAAAACACATTTATTTTCCATTCGTTAGCAAGTTCAGAGTCAGCATCAGAACATTTGCTGCCAAAATTTCTTCAGTATCAAATAATATCTCTTTAAAAACAAAACCTATAAAGTAGCTGCACTGCCATTATCCTATTAATATCTTCTTCATCTTCATTTTCTATTGCTTGTACGTAGTTGGGTTGCGGAGGTAACAGGTCCAGGAGAGAAACCCAGACACCCCTCTTACCAGTGACACTTTCTATCTTGTCCTATGAGACCACAAGGTATTCCCAGGCCAGAGAAAATACATAATCTCCCCAGCATTTTCTGGGACTTACCTAAGGCCTCTTACCAGTTGGACATGCCCAGATAACCTCTAAAGGGAGACAGCTAATGCCTAAATCACCTCAACTGACTCTCTTCAAAACTGAGGAGCAGCAGCTCTACCCCGGGCTCCCCCCGGATGATGGAACTTATCACCCTATTTCTAAGGCTGAGCCAGACCACCCTACAAAGAAAGCCCATTTTTGCCGCTTGTATCCGGGATCTCGTTCTTTGGGTCATGATCCAAACCTCATGACCATAGGTGAGGGTTAGAATAAAGACAGACAAGTAAATTGAAAGCTTTGCTTTTCGACTCAGTTCTTTCTTCACCACAACTGACCAAAGCAATGCCTTCATTACTGAAGATAAGGCACCAAACTGTCAATCCATCTCCTACGCCCTCCTATCGTCACTTGTGAGCAAGATGCCCAGATATTTAAACTCTTCCATCGGAGGCAAAGTCTCAACCCCCCACAAACTGGATTGGAAACAAGGGACAGCCCTGGCAGAGTCCAATCTGCACTGGGAAAAAGCTGGGCATTGTGCCAAGAATGCAGACACAGCTCCTGTTTTGGTTATACAAGGACCAGATAGCATTTAAAAGCAAGCCAGGCACCCCATATTCTGGCAGCACCCCCCACAAAATGCCTTGAAGAACATGGTCATAAGCCTTTGCCATGTCCACAAAACACATGTAGAATGGAGATGCAAACTCCCATAACTCGCTTAACAAATCTGCAAATGTGAAGATATGGTCCACTGTCTCACAACCAGGATGGAAGTCATGCTGTTCCTGATGAATCTGAGGATCAAAAGTTGTTTGGAGCCTCCCTTCCAATACCCTGGACTAAATTTTCCCAGGGAGAGTAAGAAGTGTGATTCCATGCTTGTTGAAGCACACTCTCTGGTTCCGCTTTTTTAAAAAAGGGAACCACCATCCTGGTTTGCCACTTCACAGGCATTTCCCAAGTCCTACATGTTGTGTTGAAGAGAGGTGTCAACTATGACAGACCCACAACATCCAGAACCTTCAGCATCTTGGGGCAAAGCTTGTCCATACCTGGCGCCCTGCCAACGAGGAGCTTTTTGACTACCTCTATGACCTCTGCCATGGTAATGGACTTGTCTTGCCCCTAGTCTTCAGACTGTACCTCCTCAAAAGTGAACATAGGAGATCTTCAAAATGCTCTACAACATCTTCAGTCCAGGTTGAAGTCCCACACCCAAACAAAATGCAATCTGGGAAGGGTCACGCTTTTCTCTTCTGAGTCGCTGAATAGTTTTGTCAGAACCTCTGCAAGGCCAAGCAAAAGTCCTTTGCTATAGCCTCCTATGCTGGAGTTTTGCATTTGCAATCAACAAAGCTGCAATTCTTCTGGCCATTCTGTACCCATCATCTGCTTCAGGAGTCCTGGACAACCAAGTCCTGAAGGCCTCCTTCTTTGGTTTGATGGCCTCCATCAACACTAGTGTCCACCAGTGGGTCCTTTGGTTGCCGCCACTACAAATGCCAATGATCTTCAGGCCACAGCTCCTAGAAACTGCATTTACAATAGAGGCCCTGAACATGGCCCATTCAGATTCCATGTCCCCTACCTCCCCCGGAACAAATGAAAATCTCTCCTGGAGATGTGAGGTGCAGGTCGCACAGACAGGGGGCTCCACCAGACATTTCCAGTTCACCCTTATTATATGTTTGGGTTTACCAGGTCTGTCCTGCATTCTCCCCCACCACTGGATCCAACTCACCACCAGGTGATGAGCAGTTGACAGCTCTTCCCTTCTCTTCAATTGAGTGTCCAAGACAAAGGACAGCAGGTCCAATGACACAATTACAACATCTACAATCAACGTTTGACCTAAGGTGGCCTGGTACCAAGAACCTCTCTGTGCTCAATTATAATGTTCATTATGGACAACCCATGCCTAGCACAGAAATCCAATAAATGAACACCATTCGGGTTCAGATCAGGGAGGCCATTCCTCCCAGCCACCCCACCCCCTTTCAATAACTCCATTATTGCCCACATGGGCATCCAAGTGACCCTATCATCCTTATAATAATTAAAACTTTAAACACTTATCTGGTTTTAAGAAAATTTAAAAACTAAAATTTGTATCCATTTTGTATAATTTGTTTGTGAATATTTCAGAACAATCAGTTGCCTTTATGACAATGGGCATTTTACCAAATTTTGAGATCTCAAAATAACACGTCTCCTTTGTGTGAGTTAATATACTACTCTTTGAGGAAGCCAACGATTTGTGTAGAAAATCCCCTAAGGCAGGGTTTATAAGTTTCAGGTGTAAATCAATTTATTCACATGTAAACAGCACATATATTTTATTTATTTGTGGCCAAAGGTTATGTATTCTATTCAGACGCAGTGACAATAATGTCCCCCTATACTTGAACCTAATCAAATCCAGGACATAAAAAACAAATGGAATGTGCCATATGGCACTATTTTGACACCACATTTGACACCACCCACAGCTGAATAAGATTTGATACAAAATGACACTGAACTCTGTGAACGTCCTCTCTTAAAACTCTATACGTCTGAGTTGCTTTATGGTGGTATAAAATAGTAGCAGGAATCTGGACCTACTCTATAAAAGAAGAGGACATGGAATCTGATCCCAGCCTGCCCTCCACAGCATTTTAAACTCAAAATGTGCTAAAAGTACATTGTTAAAGAGGTATATTTTGAGTATTATCAAAAGCAATATGCATTTTGTCTTAAAAATGTCTTAAAGGGTGTAAAAATGTTAAGTCCTTGCTATAGGAGAACTCAAGTTTTAGACATAAAAATCTGAGGAACAAAGCTATATGCAGACAAGAAGAGCAATCAATAAATAATGATGTTCTGTGAAAGGCATAAATGAAGTCTCTTACATGTGATGGTGAGTAAAATAAAATGGAGCAGCAAAAGGAGGATGATGAAGATGAAGCATCTCAACATGAAAATGAGAAAAGAAAGAATAAAAGATCAAGAGGTTCACCACTGGCTGACACAAAACAAAACATCATTTGTACCATGATAAGGAAATTAAAAAATACGAAAAAAGGGGGACATTGAGAGGTTAAAAAGGAAAAAGAATTAGTGGAAAAACAAAAGAACATCAGAGAAATTGCTGTACTGTATGTCAGCAAGTGAGCTGAGGTGGAGGTGTGAGATGAAACTAAAAACACTGAAGCAAGACAGAAAGTTTGGAAGCAATATTTCACATTTAAATGTTAAACAGTGCTCAAGGTCACTCTCAGTATCCCTCATTATGGCATTTGGCTGATTCAGTGAGAATGTGTCCTAAGGCTGATGAGAAAACAGTTTGCTGCATTGCAACAATAAAATGAGATCATTCCGATGGTGCCTAGTTACAGCATCAGGTCACTCTAAGGTCATATTACTCTGTAGAATAATTTGATATGCACTCCTGAAAGTCATTATATAACATTATTGACATAAACAAAACAGAATTTCCAAATAATAGCATGAATATGTATGGTCTCAAACTACGAGTGCTGCAAGGAATGTGAAATGTGAAAATGTATGTGAGAATGTGAAAAACTGGAAGAAAAAAGTTTTTCTTTTAGAAATCTACTAAAACTGATGATTAATAAATAAGACATTGTTCTTTATAACATGTAAAACATGTACTATCTTTGTTTTATTGCCTAATGCTGCCAAACGTGCAATATACCACCAGATAACTAAGACCACTAAGAATCACAGCATACTCATTTTCTGCACAATTTTTGGAGGGTCAATCTAAATACGGATGCAGAAGCATTAGTTTAATTAGAAAAAAAATCATGAAGCACTCTACACTAAACTACTCACAAATGTATCTAACTAAAAACATAAACCAGCTATATTACTTCAGTTTTATGTACAGTACTTCAGACATGACTTCAAATTATTGTCTCCTGATAGAAATGATAGTTGGCTGATGTAACTACAACTACAGCTAAAGAGCTATTAAACAGAAACATCTAAAACACTAGAGTACAGCTACGCCTGTTAATACTACATCTATGCCGTCTCACCTCATGAAAAGTGACAGCATACTTATTATTGAGCTTTAGTTTTCTGTTATGTATCCTTTTCTAAGAAAAGTGTGAGACAAAAATGTACAGAGATAAATGTTGGTGTTAACTGTGTTATCGTTGAGAAAAGTAGTACTAGACACATGCACATCTTAAACTAGATTACATTATTTCAGGTTGAACACAAAGATGGTGTGTGGGTTAAAAAAAAGACTAAAACAACCCCTTAAAATAGAAGGAACTGGATAAATAATGGTTAGATCTTATCAGTAAAGCCTAAGGCCTTTAAACATTGTGCTTGTCAAGGTGTCAGAATAAACTTTACACCTTTTCAGCCTTATTTTCTTCCTCGTTTACAATTTAAAAGCCAGTCTCGATCCCTGATTATAAAAGTCACTTCTTTTTTATGTTGTTTTCCAGTGCATAGAGTTGCGAGTATTCACTAATGGGAACTGACAGCATATAAATCACCACATCAATAAAAGCATTAAAGTAAAGAAAAAATATATATAATTTGCTCCATAACTGTCAAGAAGTGTGTGTGGTCTGCAGTTTCAGATCAGTGAAGGGGCCGTTCTGAAGCTCAGGGTAACACATGGCCCCGTGAAGCCTGTCAGTGCCAGCTCGCCTCGGGCTGAAGTAGGTGAGCTGCAGTGGGATTTACTGAAGAAGGCTGGAACCTCTTGTAGGGTCATGGCTAATTTTTACGGGGTCACGTCTTAATATGTGTCAGTGGCTGGAAGTCCACATGCATTTCTCTGACAAATTGTGAGACTACTCAGAACCTTAAGAAATACTCAAACAGACAGTATATATATGTGTATAAGTATGTATGTATATATGTATATACATTCCTTCCAATCCCTTTGTTTGATCAGTTTCCTCTAGATAAGGAAAAACACATAACAGCAGATAAAGTTTTGACATCAGAATAAACTAAATTTGAATATAAAGGGTGCTATGAGACTTTATAACTAATTACATTTACAAAGTAGAATGTGCCACTGCATTTCTTGTTGTCCCTTATTCTCAAACATGTACGCCATATCAGTGCCAGCTCCTCATATCTGTGCAGCCCCATATGCTAGAAGTGACCTTCCAGTCAATATCTAAGGGCTGATTATATCATATTTATATTCTAGCGGGGGAATAGGTTCTTTTCATCAAGACTGATGAGGAGGCGGCACATGGAAAAGTTTGAAGAGCCTTTGCCATCTGCCAGGCAGAATTCTGTTCACTTGCTTCAACCAGCTTCAGTGAAACTACGTAGAATAGTGAGGATTTTATTTAACACACCAACACATTTATATGCTGATGCATACAACGTGATGCATGACGCCAGATGTTGTACCTTTGGCTGAAGATTAGGATGCAGCAGGACATAGCCATTGGGATCAATGGCAAAGTAGTAGCCATTTGGACCGATCTGGTGTCAAGGTGAACAAAGAAGGAAAAAAGTGTTAAAAAGGAAACAAATATGTCAATATATTGATAGCATGAGGAGGTTGCATTATGGTGGGGTGGTTCAAAAGGATGTTATCAACTTTAGACAACTAGGTTAAAGATTAAAACATTTAGCAGAAACTTTGTATTGAATATGCCTATTTTATGACTTATCCCCTTATTTGAATGCAAGCTGAATGATAGCTGAAATTTAAAAATACCACAAAAAGAATGTTAACAGTATTGTTATTGTGTTGGTTTAGACATGGCCTACTGGTTTGTCCAAGATAAGCTCTTACTTGATGGCACCAGTCCAAACCCCACACAACTTTGAACAGGAGGACTCCGCTACCGAAAATGAATGTATGGCATAAAAGTTCCATGGCATTCGGTGGACCAAATATTCAGTTTAACATAATGGAAGACCTCATGTAGACACATTTTGTCTGTGTGCACGTGATCACATATGGGTATGGTAAACTCACTGTGAAACGTGGTGTGAGCTTTTTGATGTCATCAAGAGACACATCAATCCCCATCACGCCAAGAATCAACTGATTTTGATGCTAATGGAAGAAATGTGAAAAAAATATGAGGACTATTGCATACAATAACATTAACCATTTATATGTTCATATGTTAATGGGCTTTACCTTGCCATTTCTTTCATCAGTGGTTTTAGTTCTGTTGAACACTGGCAGTGTTCCAGTGATGACCAGGCCCAGTTCCTGGTGTAAAGTCAAGCACTGTATACCTAATCTTCATTTATTTGTGTAGAAAATGTTTGTATTTATTTAGTACAAAAATGAAACCGTACCAGAGCATCAAGGTACACATTAGTCCATTGAACTTGTTTGGCCTTCTTGTCTGCTAGAACCATGGGTCTCCCCAAGACATCTAGGTATTCCTAAATTAAACATAAGCAGTATCAGTGATGAATATTCTGGATCAAGTTTCCACATTTTCTCAAATTATATTAAAAAAGCAACCTTTAGACTTCACCTGTGTGTTTATTCTGATGGCGCCAATTGAGGGAATCTCATAGAAGTAACCTGGAAAAATGATCACACTTAAAAATGTTAAATAAGATTCAGTTTGCGAGCTTAAAATAGGCACATAGAGATATTTGACACATCAGATGGTTTTTACTTGTGTTTGAAACACTTTTGACTGATTCACAGTGTTTCAGTTCTCCTTCAGTTATCCAGAAGAAGATGAAGTTATTCTTGTCTGAGCTGCTGAAGTCTACATTTTACCAGTTTATTTTATTTTATTTTCACAAATAAGCCTCTCTGTTTCACTTTGTCTAGTTCCTAAACTATTTTTGGATTTTAATCTTTAGTTTGTTTTTGTAAAAAAATGAATAGAAAATACCAAAGTTCATGCTCAATAATCCAGGTAAAAATCCAACAATGGTTTTGCTGAGACATTTCAACCTTCATCCGAAGGACTCCTTCAATCTGAGGAGCCACCAAACAAGCTGATCTCCACAAAATTGCATTCTCCACAGTGGAAGTCCGGAGACCATCTTAGTACCAGCAAACTGTTTTGTTTCCACTGTGGAGTATGCTGTTTTGTGGAAAGCAGTTTGTTTGGTGGCTCCTCAAATTGAAGAAGTCCTTTGGATGAAGGACGAAACGACTCAGCAAAAAAAAAAAAAAAGAAACTGTCTAGATGACCTGACTGAACATTGTTAGAATAGAAATCCTTTTTACAAATCACTCAATACAATTTGATGGTGACGTAACAAAATATTATCTAAATATGGAATTACAATAAACAGACAATAATATCAAATACCTTTATTTGAGCATGCCATCCACTGAATGGGTCCTTTATCATAGTTATGTTGTCCTACTGAAAAGGTAAAGATTCTGACCTAGAACATAAAAAAAAATACTTTTACACATACTGATACATTGTAATAATTACTATTTTTAATTTAGCACTGTCTATACTGAAAAATAAACAATACAAACTAATGACAAGTAAAGTGATTTATATTTATTTTTCCATTGAAATACATCATTTGGCTGGTAAAAAAAGGATTCATATCATTTGTGCAGATGTTTTATTTTTAAGCAGTCCAATTACCACTGATTTGTCGACCAGACACAAACTTTTGTCAAAATAAAACCATCTTGATTTTCACATCCTTCTGCAACACCACAGACACTGTTTACAGACAGCTTGACAAGCATGGTGAAGAGCCCCAAGTGTAGACTAAAGGCTCCTACATACTCGGGCGTACTGTGTGTACTCCGTGAGTCACGCGGACAGTGTCCGCAGACAGTTTAGACACTCGAGCATACACCCTGATGAGCTGCAGCCCAGCTCTGCATGCAAGAGGCGTTTACCTTTGGGACAAATAGAGATCGCCGATTGGTCATTTGCTGACACGCCTACTGGATTGATTGACAGGTCGCCAACAAAAAACAAGAGCTATCAGCAGCCCTGGGTAAAGGCAGCTGGCAGCCCAGGAGCAGTGGTGTTCTGTGTTTATATGTTGTTAATAAAAAGTTGTATTAAAAAAAAAAAAAAAAAAAAAAACCAAAACAGGGAGCACTGGTCCTGCAGCCCACACATCAGACGGCCCACCGGAAAATCTCCAGACCCTCCCGCAGCCACGCTGGGCCTACTTTTAATTCTCTCGTGACAAATTCCTTCATTTCTCACAATTTCAGTCATCAACGGACGAGGAGGAAGAGATTGCTTGCCTCTTGGCAAAAAACAAAAGAAAAGGCCATTGAACCAGATCAGGGATGAAGAAGGGGGAATTTAATACATCGGTGTTGCATACAAAACAGTCCGTTGCCGGGCAGTTTAATTGTACGACACGAGTACGCGTACGCGGTCATAAAAATTGAACTTTGCGCAGACATGGCTTGCAGACGTCCACTTTGAGTCCGCGTTGAGTATAGTTGAGTACGCATGTACCTTTGTGGAGTGAAGTACGCCCGAGTATGTGGGATTCCTTAAGAACGAAAACGGCAGATCTTAATGTGATGAAGCATGTGCTGTGCTGGAATTAGTGAGAATTCTGGTGGCAGACACCACAGCACACCCTCAAAGGTCGTATAAGTCTGCACGGTGACAGGTGGGAGCAATCTGGGAGGCAGGATGGGTTAGGAAGGCCGTTTAAATGTTGCTAATTGTTGGTCATTTCCTTCAAGAAAACCTGATAGTAAAGATATGTAGTCCTCTTAAGGAAAAACATCTGGATTATAAGGTTGTAAAACTGGGTAGCTTTTTCCCCTCTGCTGTTTATTGTTCTGTCAGGCTTGTTTCTTTTTACTTCACTAATGGGTGTTAGCTTTTGATTTCTTGCCTGTCGGCGCTTCTAGTTTCTTTCTTTCGTTCTTTACTTAATAAAGGTTTATTTGCTCCTTGTCTTCCTGCTGTCTACCCGTCAGCTTGCATGTGCATTCCCATGCACACCATCAAACAAAACTAAATGTGCACGTGTGTCACTTAATGACCGTACCTTTTTGTCAGCGTTGTATTTCTCGAGTACAGAGCGAGCTCTTTCCTCTCCCCCATCAGTAAAGAGCATGATGATCTTGTTGCAGTTGGCTCTGCTTATATTTGTCTAGTCAAAGAAAGCAGACAAGCTTTTAGAAACTTTGCTTCACTGAAAGAAAAAAAACACAGAAGGTTTTGAAGCTCACAAATCTTTTTTATTTTTATTTTTTGTGTAAAACTACAAACTGTACGTTTTGGTAAAGCAGGCATAAATTAGAAAAATCCTTTATTTTGTTTTTGATTTGTCCAAACATACAATTGGACGTGAACTGGCTAAGAGTTAAGGTTTAACAGTCTGAGCAGTAATTGTGAAACTTAGTCTAAAGTCTGTTATTCTATAAAATATTTTAATTATTTATCTTTAATTTGTTTTAGTCAAACAGGAGGTAAGCAGTAACACATCCATGCAGGAGATGGCAGCAAAGAACAACTTAAAGCTTCTAAATTATGGAGACGTCACATGCAGCATTCACTCGAAACTTGATTTAAACCTCGAGCTCTCATCACAATGAAGAGCAACAAAACAAAGTGTTGTTCTCACCGCGTTGAGCTGCTCAAACGCGAACTCAAATCCTTTCGTGTAGTTGGTGATCCCCTTGGCTGTGATGTTCTGAACAGCATCTTTCAGCAGCTTTTTGTTCCTCACGTTGGCCTGAACCAGATGGTCGAAACACGCCGTGTTCTTCACCCTGGTGTTAAACTGGGAAACAGAGGCAAGGCGTTATGACCTGAAAATGATTCGTATGATTAAAGCATCTGTGCATGTGTAACAAATACGAATGGGGCATGGACACACACGAGCACCCTCACACACATATATACACATAGAAGCACTCCCACCTGGCCTTGGCTGTTATCAGGCTGTGGTAAACAGACACATTCATCAAGCCCCACTAATTGCTTCACATTCTTGGAGCTCAACGATGTGGTACCCATGGAAACAAGATTCTGCTATATAAAAATGAGGACGGGCAGGAACACCGTCCATTTGTAAAGGTGGGACCTCTTCATTTTGGTCATCCAGCACACATGCGTAAAGATCCGTCATCTGGTACCTAAACAGAACAGTTCTCCGAGTTGAGCTCACCGTCCATATGTTATCAGCAAAACTTAGCTCCGAACAGAAGCAATACAAATTTGTTCCAAAGAGCTCCAAATTACAAATAATATTAATAAAATAAGCAATTATAGGATAAATAAGTAATAAAATAAAGGACTTGGAACATCAGAGTAAGTAAACCAGCTGTTCTAAAACAACACTGGGCCTCATTGATCTTAACTGATCAATATGTCTGTGTGAGGTGGCCAACAGGAAGGCTGATGACCCTGATCTACATAAACAACAGGCAATATAAGCCTTGACCGTTGAGGAGTGTGCACGTAGCAGGGACTGAAAATCCTTTTAGAGTGACAGTATCAAAATTACAGCACATTTCTCTCCTGAGACTTTTTTTTTTTTTGTCTAAACAGAAATGATATAAATTGGCACAATATAAATTTAACAACAGAATCAAAAGGTATAGCTGTTGTCTGTCAGATAGAAGGTCGCTGGATTGAATCCTGGCTGGGG